AAAGACTATATTGAAAAAAGGCGTATGATTGCATTTACAAATTTAGGTATGTCCAATATAGGTGTCAATTAAAAAAAATTAAGGGGCTCACTAAAAAGAGCCCAAATGTCTTTAAAAGAAACCCAGTAAAACAAGTTAGTCACAAAGGACAAATATTGTATGATTCAACTTATATGAGGATCCTCAAGGAGTCAGATTCCGAAAGATGGACCGTGGTGGCCAGGGCTGGGGATTAGTGTTTAATGGGTATGGGTTTCAGCTTGGGAGGATGAAAAGGCTTTGGAGGTGGATGGTGGTGATGGTGGCACAATACGAATGAACGGTATGAAGTGCCAAAGCCTTGGAGTGCAAGACTTGGTCACCAACTTTGCTGTGAAAATGATGCAGGCCAGATGAACACAGCATTCCCGTGCGAGAAACTCCTGGGGTGGCCCTAACTAGGCTATCCAGTTATTCTAGAAGCAGGTTTGTGGTGCTGCAGCTAAGCATCACTTATCAACCAAACGAGAGGGGGGTCGAGTGGAGAAGAGAAACTTACACCTCACATGGTGGAGCACTCAGTCGGGGGCCAGACGGTTTTGCAAAGGCTGGGGCACTTGCACTTCAAAATGGGGCTCTTCTCCACGATTCCAGTTTTTTTTGTTTTTTTTTTTTCCCTTTTTGTCTTTTTTCGTGTCCGGCAATGGATTGCAACCCTCAGTGTCGTGCCTGTACCGGGCTGGGACCGGCAACGGGATCGCAACCCTCAGTGTTGTGCCCGCACCTCGCTCAGCCAGTNCCGAAAGATGGACCGTGGTGGCCAGGGCTGGGGATTAGTGTTTAATGGGTATGGGTTTCAGTTTGGGAGGATGAAAAGGCTTTGGAGGTGGATGGTGGTGATGGTGGCACAATACAAATGAACGGTATGAAGTGCCAAAGCCTTGGAGTGCAAGACTTGGTCACCAACTTTGCTGTGAAAATGATGCAGGCCAGATGAACACAGCATTCCTGTGCGAGAAACTCCTGGGGTGGCCCTAACTAGGCTATCCAGTTATTCTAGAAGCAGGTTTGTGGTGCTGCAGCTAAGGATCACTTATCAACCAAACGAGAGGGGGGTCGAGTGGAGAAGAGAAACTTACATCTCACACGGTGGAGCACTCAGTCGGGGGCCAGACGGCTTTGAAAAGGCTGGGGGACTTGCACTTCAAAATGGGGCTCTTCTCCACGATTCCAGTTTTTTATAGAAGCAAGGTTGGTTTTTATTGTTGCTGCTTTGCTTCATTTTTTTAATTGTAGCAAAATATACATAACACAAAATTTACTATTGGAATCAATCTTTTTTTTTGGCGGCTGGTGGCTGCCGGGATCCAAACCCTTGACCTTGATGTTATCAGTATCAGGCTCTAACCCAGTGAGCTAACCTGCCAGCCCTATTTTCACTGTTTTTAAGTGGACAGTTCAGTGCCATTAACTGAATGGAGGTGACCTTGTGCGATTGGTGTCCCCTCACATCAGCACCCCCCAAGGGTCGAGTCATTTTCATCCATGCACGAACCTTTTCTCTCTCATACCGCTTTCTGTCCCTGACGTCACCTTCACTGTCCTTGACGTCATCCACACCCCCACCCCCACTCCCCTCCCCTCCCCTGGTGCTCTCCTCACCATCGCAGTCACCCTCCTCGGGGTCCCCGAGGACATAATTACTGTCCTCTGATGTCTACCTCCTTCACCTTCTAGTCCTCTAACCTCATACCTTTCAAGGGACCTGTGTTTTACTCCACTGTCCCTGACATTATCACTCTTTAAAAAAAGTTAAAAAAAAAAAAGTTGAAAAATAAAAAAAGGAAAAAGGAAAGTTAAAAAATGAAAAAGTACAGAAAAAGGTTAAAAAAGAAAAAGTGAAAAAAGTGAAAAACATATAAAAGTAAAAAGTAAAGAGAAAAGTTTTAAAAAGTATAAAAAAGTAAGAAAACTAAAACAAAGTAAAAAAAATGTTTGAAACAAGAGTAAAAAAGGGGGGCTTCTCTGCTCCCCACACGTGGGCCCACCACAAGCGTGCGTCGTCAGAGCCCGCCCAGACCCTCCGGTGTGGAGCGAGTCCCCCTCGGGTCGGGCAGTACAGTAGGACGCACGCTGAGCTCCTGCTCTGGAGACCGCGCCCCATCACTGCCCGACACGGAGCTTCCAGACAATTGAACTCCTGACGTTTCCCCTGACATGTCTGGTGAATTGTCGCCAGACAACTGAGTGTTCTTGCTCAGCAATTCACACGAATAACAGAACAGAAAGGCTAGTTCTTTATTACAGGTGACATTATGGATGACTCACAAATCCACAATGCGAGTCCTCCAAACCAGGATGGAATTGGAGGAAATGGCAAAGCATCTCTTTGGCTAGAGCTGCAGAGCAGCAGGGCCCCAGAAGTCACCCAGGCTGGTGTCTCTCAAACTTCGGCTGCCTGGAGACTGGTGAAAACACAGGTCCTTGGGCTCCATCCCAGGATTCTGGTTCCTTAGGACTGGGGTGGGGCCCAAGAATTTGCATTGTAACAAGCTCCCAGGTGAGGGTGTTGCTGGGCACCCCACTATGAGTAACCCTGATCCAGCCCAGAGGTCCTCAACCCTGGCTGTATACTAGGATCATCTGGAAATGTCTAAAAATTACTGATGCTCAGCTCTGGCTCCAGAGATTTAGTTTCAACTGGCCTGGGCCAGGTTACTTTTTGTGGTTTTCAAAGCTCCCATGGGATTGTAACATGCATCCAGGGCTGAGAATGACAGGGATGACCAGGCCTTTCATCTCACAGAAGGGAGTTGTCATAAATGCTGCTTCTGTGGCCCAGGGAGGGGAGGGGCCCCTGAAGGGTGGCACAGGGAGTGGGTGGCAGAGCCAGGCTCTTTTCTCCCTCTAAATGCAACCTACAGTTTGCCTGAGGAGGCCCAGGTGTCAGCAGGAGGCAGAGAATGAAGGATATATCCCCACCTCATCTGGAGAGGGCAGGGGCTGCAGCTCCCGAAGCAGCCCTGGTAGTGAGGAGGTGGGTGGCAGGGCTGAGGAGTGGGAGGTGCCCCTTGGGTCCCAGGCAGGAGATCACAGAATCACAGCTTAGGAAACAGTGCTATTGCAATATGTCCCCATTTTATAGATGAGGAAACAGAGGCCCAGAAAGACAAAGAGATTTGTCTAAGGTCACAGGGTAGGTCAGTGGCTGAGCAGGGACTAGACACCAGTCTCCTGCTTTGCCTGCTGTCCCCACTGCCTGGGGCACTAGGGCTTGTAACCCAGGCCAGGTAACCAGATGGCAAAACACAAGTTCTAGATGAAGAATCGGAACAAGCCCCAGAGAGGGATGAGCCCACAGTGTGGGATCTGCTGAGGAGGGGTCTGTGAACAGGTTATGAGGCGCTTAAAAAGCACACACACGAGTGTGAATGGGGATGAGGGTGGAGCAAAAAGAGGAGTTTTGGAAAGAGATTATCATGGTGCTATGAGACTCCGCCCCCAGGTGAGAGGGATGGGGGATGGGGTGAAGTGCTTCTCTGTGACCTCAAATCCAAGGAAAGGCTGCAAGGAGACCATTTGGATGGCTTGATAGATGGGCCGATGCCTGAGTCCTGACTGAGAAACCTAAAGGGAGCTGACAGGCTGGGCAGGTGCTGCGAGGATGGAACAAAAGAGGGGAGCCGTACAGCGTTCGTGGGAGCAAAGGACACGTGAATGTTTCCTGTGCACTAGACGTGGACCATGGGCCAGGGAGAGCTGGTGTGTCCGTTCTAAGACATGCTAAGGGAGGATGGGAGGTGACTCTGAAAGTGGGGAACCGCATGGTGCTCAGGGGTGGAGGAAGAAGCCACAGTGGCCAATTAGGGGAATATTTCAGCCACCTGAAGTGTACTGCAGGAGAGAAAGTCCCAGCGATGAGAGACCCATGAAATCACCCCATGAGAGTCTCAAGGGCCCACTTAAATCCCTGCCTGGCCCAGCAAGCCCAATGCAGTTCCCGGCAAGTAAGGTCTTTTCTGCCCCTTCCATCACTCCAAGCTCCAATTCTGGAGGGGCCAGACATCTCGGTGAGTAGACTGATGGGGAAAAAACTCAGGCTGGCCACAGACACAAGTAGTCAGCCTGTGCCCCCTCTCCGAGGCAGGGGGCCAGCCTGATGCAGGCCTGAGCTGGGGGAGGGAAGTTGTGCCACTGAACGCAGCTGGAAATTTTGAATATTATGATGAAATTCATATATTAGTTAGTTACTGACCAGAGGACCTTCAAACTCCTGAGACTGACCCTAAATTGTATCAGGAACAAGAGAAGAACCAGCAGCCCTGCAAGAGTTAGAGAGGACAGTGCTGGACAAAGTTTCTCTGTGACTATGTCCTAAGCATCGGGCTCAGTCAACATCACAGCTACACCCAACCACATGGGTGGCAAATGCTTTCCACCCCCACGAAGACGGAGCTCCTGTCCGCTAAGGGCCTCTTTGAAAATGGAATCATTAAATTAGGTCCTCATCCTGTTTCACTCCCCTCTTAAAAGTTCAGATTTCTTGATGTGGCTCCTGCCTGCCCCTCCAGTCTCTTCTGGCACCCTGTCCCTGTGAATCCCCTGTCCCAGCCATACTGAGCCCCTCTCAGCCCCTTGACCATACCCATACTATCCCCAGGCCTCCATGCACACTGTGCCCTCTGCAGGGTTTGCAGTGTCCCTGTCCTCTTTGTCTGGCTAACTCCCACTCACCCTTGGGCTCCGGGTGGCACTTCCTACATAGAGTCCATCCTGAGTGCCTCAAGCACCAGCACCTCCATATGTCCCCAACCAGCCCTTATTCCTGTGTGTTGTAAATGCTTTGTTAATGATCTGATTTTCCCAGGAGGCCAAAGGCGGCAGAAGGTGGGGATGGTGTTTCGCTTGAAACCCGAGCAGATAGCTCAGTGCTGGGCACACAGTAGGTGCTTTGTATATCTTTAATAAATCAATGCTGAGTGAATGTTGCCAGCACCCTGAAATGGAAGGAGAGCGATTACCTTCTTCTTCATTTTCACGTTTTTGAAGATAGCATGGACCCTCCAGGTCTTCGCAAACATTGCTCCAAAGGCAGTTGTGTAGCCCACGGTGAGAATCCAGGTCCTGACCTAGAGGCCACAAGAAAACAGAGGTTAACATCCCTCCTGTGGACGGACCTGTCAGGATGAGACCACCCCAGCCAGGGGATCTAGATGGTGGGGTACTGTTGAGCTTCACCAGCATCTGCAGTCCTTTGGTCAAATTCCAATTTTATAGGCATTCAGTTCAATCAGCTGCTTGCCACACCCAGGGCACTGGGCACAGAGGAGCAGGAGATTCGCATCCTGCCTTTGATGGGTCCACAGCCCCGAGTGAGCCAGGCAGAGAGAGGAGCGGAGTGCCCTCAGGACTGCTGGGGGGTCACTAAGAAAGTGATGGGCCAGCCTTCTGGCCTTCCCTTCCTCCCTTTCTTCCTCCTGCTGCCCAGCCATCTCCCCCCATGGTCAGGACGCTTGGCTATGACAGCACAGTGTGACCTTTGTTGTCCAGTTTCTCAGCATCAGGCCAGCCTGGCCACTGAGCCAACACTTGGGCCTGGGGTCCCTCCTCAGGACTAGGGCCCTGTCTGGCTCTCACTTTGGTCTCATCAGACCAAAGTGTGCCCTTATCCCCAGCCCTGGGCTGGTAGCAGACGGGAACAGCCAGCTCTGATAGGAGTCTACAAACCTGGATCCCTGCAGGCTGGGACAGGCTGGCCACCACCTGTGAAGCTTTGGGGGCTCCAGGGTGCCTACTCTCCACCTGTAGGGGCTGGCTTGGACACCCTCCAATAACCAGAAGACTCGCAGGTCTCCAGCTTGGGCCCCCATCATGGCCCAGCCCTATCTGTGCACCACTGAGTTCTCAGGCCTCCCGCTCACTGGCACAAAAAAGCCTCATGCTTCGTGAACTGCGGTTCTAGGCTCTGGTCTTTCCCCTGCTCTCCCTCAGCTCTGTGGAGCTAAGTTCCCTTTGAGAAGTCCCAACCCGCCTCCGCTGACCACAGCAGAAAAGTGGACGTTGCAGGAGAAAAACAGAGATGGCCAGGCTTCAGCCGACAGATCAGGCCCCCTGTGTCTGGAGGAACTGGGCATAGCAAGTTTGCTTGGCAAGCTCCTTCTAGCCCTGAGCTGCCACCAGCATGTTAGGACGTTTCCAGAAACACTCCCAGCCCAGTCCCTTCACAAAGTCATTCTGCTCCTGCCTTTCTAACAACTTGGCTCTCCAGCTTTTCAGAGGCAGGACATTTCCCCTTTCCATTTTATTTGTGAAGATGGGAACCCGCTGAGTAAATAGCAAGGCTGACCCCTAAATCAGGGGAAG